AGCAAGGGGGGGGGGGGGGTTGGATGATGAAGCGGAATCGCCGCATGAGGGGCGTGTCTAAGACGGACATGTATATCGATCTATGTATATATATATATATAATGAACCGGAATCGTTAAATGAGGGGGTGTGTTTAGGGTTGTTCCTTTCATTTTGTTTTTTTGTCGTTGCATCTTTCTTCCTTCCTTTATTTCTGGCATTCTTTTGACGTGTGTATCTTCCTTTCTTTCTGCCTCGTTCTTCCTTTTCGTCCTTTCTTGCTTTATTTCTTCCTTCCTTTCTGTCATTGGTTCTGCTTTTCTTTCTGTAGTTATGTCGTGCCTTCTTTCGTTGTCCCTTCCTTCCTGTCGTTCGTTCTTTCTTTTGTGTCTTTCTTTTTTGTTTCGTGCCTTTCTTTCTTTCTAACGTGCCTTTGTCCTTTTACCCGACCAAAACCAGAAAACATTGTAAACAAAAACAAAACAGTTGACAAAAGCACCCATCAACAAGTAAATAAGCCACCTGCTCCCACTCCCGGCTCTTCTCACAAGCGGTGATGGCAGCGGCGTAGATGAGCCTTGGCTGGTTCCGGTTTCAAGTCCGGAGTCTCCAAACTTGACGAACTCGGTGGAGAGTTTATGCTTTGCGGATTGGGAGGCCGAAACACCACATATTCAGGGTGCAAAGTGTTTCGTGGTTGCGACTTCCATTTGTTGTCCAAAAGGCCGGTGGCAGAACAAGCTTAACTTCCAAGTCATCCTCAGTCATGACTCCTTACACCTTACACGCAATCTCCAAAAGACTACTACACCCAAGCCCTGAACTGCCACCTTGAAGTATCAAAGGCTATACAACATGCGCGCACCAACCCAGTACTGGTAGCGCGACGTCCATTACATGATACGAGAGCTTCAGGAAATCAGGAACCCCGTGCCGTAGACAGGTAGGCTTCTCAAACAGGAGTACCTTCAATGAGGTACTCTAAGCTGTCTAAGCTTTTGAAAGCTCTTCAGCGGTTTGCCGTTTGTTCTCACCTTGGGGCGTAGGGCCTAGGGCTTGTCGGATCTTGGGCCCATAGCTAGTTGGCTTTGATGAACCATTCTTCGTGCACCTTAGGATGCTTTGTAGTTGCCACGGTTTCGGCTCTCGCAACTCGCACACGGCAAAAGGATCACGACAAGTGTGCCTCTCCTGCCTGCATTGTGGATGCCAAACGCAAGTACCGTCTTCGGGGTTTTTTGCTTGGTACAGAAGTACAGTCGTATTTGCCACCCAAGCGCACATCGAGCTCCACTAGCCTCGAGAATCGCGATCTCTCTGCTTCCCTCCCCGTATCGGTAAAGATGTAAACAGCACATGCGCAAGGTGGAAGTCCTACATACTCATATTAAGGATTTGCTGCTAGCTGATGGCACCACACGTTACAACACCGTGCACGCAGCCTGCTAGGATGAGGATTTTGACCTTCGTGTGTTTGGCAACGATGAGACAAACATGGGGCGACTGCATAGCTGGAACACTTGAATCTGCAAATCACAGTCGTGTTGACATTTGCTCTTCCTGACAGAGTTGACCTCCAAATCAAAGCAGGCAGCTACATGTACAATGCATGTACGCTTCAAGGTGCTGGGAATTCCTGTGGCTTGCCTGCTCCCACTGCCGCAACAAGGATCTGACCTCTACAAAGTAAGCAAGACAAGCAACAAATCAAATCATCAGCCAGGATTGCAAGGAACGGCGAAAGACAACAGGCTTTTTCGGAAAGCTTTCGCTCTCAGTCAAAACAGATTACCAAGTATTTTTTCCTTCTCTACTGCCGTCGTCGTGAGACCAGGAGGTGACGTTTTCAGAAACTATCAAGCCTGGTGCTGACAACCGCAACCATGGGAAGCACAACTCCCGAAAAGACATCATATAGAAGTGATGGAGCGTCCAGTCCACGGAGCAGTGCAAGCGTGCCCTGCCCAGACCCACTTAACCTCACCCAAATCCTTCGGCATCTCCTGCCCCTCGCAAAGATCACCCAAGGGATGCAATGTTTGGTGAGGGTCCTGAACAAAGAAAAGCACGTATCCTCACAGTCCTTACAAAGCAAAAAACCGTGTCGGATCACTCGATTGCTGGGCAATGCCTGCAGTCTGACTCCTGACTCTAACGCTGTACAACCTAAAGCACAAGTTCTGGTCAATCCAGGCAGCTCGTGCTCCGCAGCAGCCAAAAGAAGTAAAGCTTGAGCCCACCGCCAGGCCTGGCTAGACTTCTCGGGCTCAGTGAATTCATTCAAGTTATCATCATGACTGGCCCTTATGACTAGCTCTTGTGACGCTCTATAGCTTTACCCGTATCTGAAATCTGACAAGGAAGCGAAAGGAACTACAAGCTACAACAATCCCCATTTGGATTAGATGTTAATCACGTCTTGGCTATGGGAGCGACACTTCATGAAGGCATTGAAGCCCTACACCTCAAACCCCTGACTCCACCCGTTTGCGGTTTGTTGACAGCCGATGACTGGTGGGGCTTACTTGGGGTGTAGGGGCGTGGATGTTAGCAAGTTGAGGTCTGCGGGTCCTCGGAGTTCAATATTTGTCTCGTAGTGTGGCCGTTGTTGACAGTTTAGGCTTCAGGGAGCTAGGGCCCAACCCACAGACATTTGTCGCACATCCCGGCCCTTGCCTTCTCGCAAGCACTGACGGCACTGCTGAATACGATCACGTTGGGCCTCTTGCAAGATGGCTCCATCAGGCACATGCGGTTGACATCTGGTAGAACGGTACCAGAACCCAAGAGGAGACTTGGCATGTGGCCACAGCATCTGATCGAAGCTAAGCAGAAAGAAGCATCTGTGTTGCCAGTTAGCTGAAGCATCTCGGTACGATGTGAGATTGAAGAGCTAGCCCCTGAGGATCATGTCACATTCGCTTATAAACCTTTAGGATAAGGCCCCTAAACACCAACAACCATAACCGCTGAATCCTGGCCCGGTTCCCAGGACGCAAATATACGCAAATCCTCGACAGTCGGCAACCAACCCTTAAGCTGATAGCTTCAGAAACTTCTTTCTGGCGTGTTTACATATTTCAGCAACTGCCGTTCTCGGTAGTTCCCGCGCTTGGGTACAGAGCCTGACCACGATCTCGCCCATGTGCACGATGCTGGAAACGGCCTCAATGCGAGACAAGTCACAGTGGGCTTTCGGTTGGTGTCTGGTGGGCAACTAGTTGCTCTGTGTTCTGGGTTTTTGATTGCTTAGGAATCACCATGTTGAAGGCTTCAAGCGGGCGTTCCCCCAAAAAGAAGGCTTGTTCATGACAGCTGGGTAGTTCGGACGTGGGTGCCACATAACAGGGGTCCGCGCAAAACTGCCTGCGACTCGCATGAACTACCTTGATTGAGACCAAAGCTGTCTTGGCGTTTCGTCAGACTTTGGAGTACTGGTGTGCCGGCCGCTGAAAGAATTTAGGGCCTGGGGTTGTGGGCAGAGTGTCAGTGCCGCGTTGCGTTGGAGATGTCTCGAATGTACCCTTTTCTCAGGCTTGCCAGGTTACGCTCTGATCCTCCAAGACCCAAGTCCCTCTCTCCTTAACGCTCGACCCTAACCCTCCAAACTAAAACATGTGAAAACCCTGCATGAGACTCAAGCCGTAAACCCCATGCCATCCAAAACCCGCGACCCATGCATCGGTCGACGTCCACTTGTGCCCGGGTGCTTCGCGCCAGCGGGCCGCTTTCTCGCAGCTGTGGAGGACGAGGCCTTGACTCATGGCGTGGCAAAGTCACAAATTTCCGTGGTGCTCTGGGTGATGGCCTGCAGAGCTGAGCGCTTCTATTTTCTTGCAGGATGGGTCAGGGGGCCATGAGTCTAGGTACTGGAATGATGGTTAGCAAATTCGGGTTTAAGCTGACAGACAGAGTTGACGCTCGTTCTGAATGCTATGGGGTGGCTGAAGCTTTAGCGTCCTTTCCATTTAACTGTCGAAGGATGATTACGCTGGAAGGACGAAGTGAGCCGGGGTGCCGAATGTCTTCGCATTGTATTGCAGGCCGCGAAGAGCCCAAGCTGTGGCAAGGCACGGATATTGGCGGGATACTCAAAGATTTGCATACGAGGGTGGGAGCACGACAACCTTAGCAAAGCTCCCCCCACAACCACCCCCTCATGTCTTATGTAGCTTCTACTAGTACTAGTTACGAGATACTGCTGATAGTAGGTACCACTTGCAGAACTACTCCTGACAGTAGTGACCGATACCGCTCGCCCTGGTTCGCAGCATCAATGGTACCGCTGACACCAGTAGTACTGGTTCTACTGAAACCACGCAATCCTCGTTGCCATTAACTTTCCTTTTGTTTCAATTCCGGAGCCCGAAACTGCAAAATCTCGCCGAGTCATTCTGTATCTTAGACGGGTTGAATAAGAAGGGGAAGTGATCACGAGCAAGTTGTTGTCTTGTGGCATGTTGGCATGTTCAAAAGCCTTCGGCGAGTAGGTGACCGTGTCTTTCAGTACATACACTGTTACGCACACACATACACATACGTAAGCAACCTCGAATGCCCTGAAGCCGAAAACCATCCGTAAGCCCAGAACCACCTTCCGCAGTGCACCTCTGCATAGTGCCAGCGAGGCATCCCATGTGACCGGCCTCCTGGCTGTTAGGGCTCTCTGGCTGCTTGAAGGCTTCGGGAAGGGCTTTGGGTTCCGGCTCAGTGCCTGTATGGCTGAAGGATGAAGGCTCCGAGCTTACGGCTTTAGGTCTTTAGGGTGTCGAATGGCTTGAGCTTTCAAGTCTCTCTCTCTCTCTCTCTCCGTGCCGTGCGATCATCAAGAGTCTCGCAACGCAAGGGCACGAAAAACGCAGGCTAGAATATCAGGAGCTTTCAAGTGTCTGCCTGTATCGTGAATTATGGTTCCCATTTTTGGCCGACCAGCTTTATCGCTATACGCACACGAGGTAACCTGAGAGGTCGCACGGTGGAGCGGTAAGTGATGTGTGGAAGGTATAATAAGCAAGCGCAACATGGCAATACAAAGACCGCAACGCGCAGAACGTGTTTTTCATGCAGAACAGTACAGTATTACAGCATGTGCTTGGGGCGTGTGTCTTGCACTCACCCAAGCATACAAGCACCGCCAGATACCAGGTGTAACAGCAACCCTCTTGTGCATCCAGACCTCTTCTTCGCAGATCCGGACACAGCCGTGCCATGCATTCAGCCCTGCGGGCCATGCACGACGGCTGTTTGGGCTGTTGGGTTTTGGGGGCTCAGGGCCACTCACCAGGTCGAGAAATAATAGTGTCGGATGTTCTGCATGGCGGACGGCCGAGCACCGAACACTTGTAGGCAAGCTGCTTCCGAAGACGACATATACGACCTTCGAAACTTACCGATGCAAGAAGGCCCAGCGCCCGATGTGCAAGCCCACATGCGAAAACGATGCTTGCATCGGAAGCCTACGCTGTCATAGGGCCTGTGCCTTCATTTCCTTCTTTATTGAGGCATTTTGAGAGCGATATCTCTAGAAGCAGACGTGTCACACGGACCGTTGAATCTAAATTCTTTGAACCTTCAAGCCCCAAAAAATCTTGAATTGTCACAGAATGACTTTTTTCGAACAAGAAAGAGCTTTGGGAGGTTAGGAAAGTTCAGGCAGCTTACACTCCAGATCACCCAACCTCGAGCAGCCATACGCCTCGCGGAGTCCAAAAGATAGAGCTTCCCGTGTGTAGGCTTTTCATGGCATGCGCAGCTCTAGTCACTCTAGTCCGTCTCTCTTTCAGCGGCAGTCTTGGAATGGAGTGGAGGGTTGGATCTAAGTGGCTTGCAGAGGGCGGGTTTCTGGAGCTCGAACCCAAATTCCGCTGATGCTCGCGCAAACAAAAAGGCACGCTGCTCGGGGAAGGAAATGCTGCAAGGTCGCGGTCGCAGTATCCCTTATACCAGGGCACTTCTTATGGTACCCCTGTAGTAAGCAGTGTAGCGACCCTTTAAACTCCATGGCTTTTGCTTTTGCGCCGCCATCAGCATCGCCTGCTTTGGGCATAAGCCGAGAGAGGATCACCTGCACTCCCACTTTGAGGCTGTGGGCACTTCGGGGCAAGGTTTTTCCTGCTTTGGGGCAGGCTGTTCTAGTAAGTCTCGTGGCTGAGGCTGAGAGGAACCTGCTGTAGGCTAACCGGTGCAAATGACTCCTGTATGTCCCCATGCCTCCTGTACTGTCTTTGGTGAGATTACCCTAGCATGCCATCACGGTAGAGTCTCCGAGCCCTCGGCATGCTTCGGGATCTCAGATTGTGGAGTCACAGGCAATACAACACTTATCGCGCAGCAAAATCGTCCTGTAGGACACAGCCGCCTTGAAACTTCGGCAATACAGAGGCCACGAGAATCAAAAGCAAATGTGGGTAAATACTAGGTAGACCATGGCTACAATAACACACGTGAACTGTTCAGGCCCGTGCATTACGGCCCTAATTGGTCCGCTTCGGGGTGTCTCGAGGTCTCCACATGTCGTCTACACCCGTCCATGAATAACTCCCTCCCTGGTGGCTTCAGATGACCCAATCAAAAAAAAAGAGATTCCGCTTCAAGCACAGGTTGTGAAATGAGCCAAATGCCGAGCTCAACGGCCAAACACGCTAAAGCCTGCTGCAAAGATGCGACTGCAATGCAGCTGTCTTCTTCAAGCCCGCAAAGCTGAAAACTCGTGAACAGCCTCAAATCCAAAAAGCACCTCAAGCTCTTCGGGGAGCGGAGCGAAGGCAGCGAACGGAGATCCTGGCGCAGGACTTCTACTGGGGCCCATCTTGTTGTTTGATGTTCGAGGTGTCAAGGTGTTTTTTGCCTGGGTTTGTTCGGTATGGCTTCTCGGACAGCCATGGGAGGAGGACGGCTTATTGTATGCCGGCAGCGCGTCCGGCTTGGGTGTACACAGCTTTGGTCGGTGCAATCCTTCTGTGCTGAATACCTTAACAAGTACAAGTGTTGTTTTCTGAGACCCCAGCCAGTCACACATGGGGCACTCATCACGTGAGACAGACATGCACTTGATAACATGCCCCCTCGTCAGAAGCCCGCGACAAGACAGCCGCGTCAAATGATAACCCCTGGATCGACATAAGGACCCCGTTGTGGGTTTATGAGCTCCTAGCTTGGCCGGGCTTGGCCTTCCAGGTCTCGCAACGCGATGTGCTCGCAGTGCAGCCAAAGTCGGGGGCAGTCTGGAAGAAACCTAAGTGACGGATGCTTCTGGCAGGACGGCAGGACCCTGGCAGCCTACTGCATGTAGGAAACCCGATCGAAACGGACACATCTCTCTGTAGGGTCTCATTTCGTTGTCAAGACAGCATGTGGTTTTTGGCTGCTCGGGGGCATGGGCGGAGTGCTCGGACATAGCTATACGTCGCAACGGGATCGCGATCTTTCTGGTGTGGTGGAAGCAGTTCTGACGCCTTCTGCCGCGATCTGTCGGCCCTCCCATCGATGAAGGAACGTTGCATCCAGGTCCACTGGCAAATGCAGCAGTAGTCCGAAACAGATCTCCTCTGCAGCCCCATGTCCCATGATATCCCATGGTGTACTTCACACTCTGAACCTTGATCACTTGGTACAGACCATGCAAATATATAAACACCCCGAGCCACTTGAGAAGGCCCATGTTCATCGGATAGTCTTCTGAGCGACGGGAACTGCCAGGTTTGCGGTATGGCTTGCGCTTATCGCCAGGACAATCCAACCAAGTTGTATAGCTTGAGGTTTCGAGTGATGTGCCAAGGATACAAGGGGAGAGAGCAGGTGGGGGCGAAACAGCCGAAAGACGGCAGGCAGTCGCATTCCCAAGAATCCTCTTGTTATATGCCCCCTCAAAATCAGGCCTGCAAACCCAGACCCTAACCAGGTCTTTCCTCCGGGGTGCGACTTCCAGCGCCGTCCGTAGGTCAGATCTCCCACCACTGGGCGCCCGACCTTAGTCTTTGCAAGATTGGTTGTGGGCGTATCCAACGTTGTAACTCCCAAGAGAATGGTGCCGAAGCATGACTCCTACACTCCTACTCCTGCGCATGCCAGGACTCTTAATAATTTGCTGCAAGTCTTCCGTCTGGTCATTCATTCCAACGGTTCCTTTCCCCGTACTTCCGGTCCAATATCACGAACCATAGGCAAAAAATCCTGTGGCCGCTGGTGCCTGCCACAAGACACCGTCTGCAGGTACCTGTTCCCAAAGTCCCACTGCCTACATGGAGAGTTCCTCAACTTCACTGTACCACCCCCCACGAAAACTTTGAGCCTGCACCTCCTTGCCGGGGCACGGAAGCGAGGTGCACACGGATTTGGTGCCTCCGCCCTGTGAGAAGGCGTACGCGAAGCAGCCTAAGAAGACTCCCTTCGCGACTCTCGTTCCTACGATCAAATCGATGTGGTTGTCTTCTGCAAGTAGCATTTGAAGCTATGCGGATGGGCGATGTATGTGTGTGTGTGTTCATCATGGTGAATCATGGTGCAACAGTGCGTACTCAACACGGTACTTCTTATCAAGTTCCTTAAATACCTAGATTCGCTTCAATAGCGAACACAGCTGTCATGGGCCCAGCAACATGAAAAGGCTACGACAATCTAAACTCCTCCTGTTGCCTCCCTGCCTCAGTCCCCTAACCTGTTTTGCAATCCCCCAGCTCTCTCAATTCATTTGGGTGGGGGACTCACCTTTCTAGATTCTAGTTGCTCCACCGGCGGGCTCAATTATCTCAATTGTGCGAGCTGCCCAGGCAGACATGCAGCATCAACCCTAAACTCAGCGGGTGGAAGCGTGAGAGTGCGGAGCAGGGAGACACGAGGCACTCGATGTCTTAGCTGCAAATCTGCAGCGCCGACAAGCTGCTTAGAGCCTTGGTTCATCCTGCTTTGCCACTACCGAGCACCGCCCAGTGCGATGAACGCAGGATCCCCACAACCCGAAGCATCGAGTTCGAAACACAAACTAAAGACCATCAGAAGTTGAGACCACACGTTTAGGCAAGAGGCATCAACTCTTCCCCTGCAGTGGAAGACAACATCGCAGGACACAGTTGATCGAGGCTTCGGTATGGGAGCTTAATTATGTAGTTCGAGTTCATACAGGCCCGGCGTAGGCGTACATGGATGACTGCGCAATGAAGGGCTTCTGCTTCCGGTTCCCTGCATACTTGGGATCCTGAAACTCTGAATCTCCGAATAAACCTTAATAAAATCATTTAAAAGCCCTGAGCATCCCGGAACCACAGCAACTGTAACTCCGACAAAAACAACACCAACACACACACACACACACACACCCTGAAACCTAGGGGAAGGTGAGGGACCTGAGTCGACCGGCGTAGCAAAGCGCTGGAGCACTCGAAACTCGGTTCTGGCCGACCGGCCGTGACTGGCGACCTCAGGGTTTCCTTTTTAGTGCTTCTAGGGCTTGACGTTCGAGGCACCCGGGGGAGGCGGGGGTTGTTTCGTCTTATGTTTGCCTGCAAGGGTCAGGCATGTTAGCCGTTAGGAATTGATAGTGCGAAAAGGAGTTCTAGGGCGTTTTCTTGGTATAGAGCTGCAGGCTTCTTCCTTTTGGAAATCCCGTGGGCCATGGTACATTCCTTTCGGAAGAGTGACTTCGAGGGAATAGGAAGTCCAGCCAGCAACGTCTAGATTTGCAGAATCGTCTTTAGTAAACCCTTCGATTGCGCAGCCCACAAGTGACTAAAGGCCTTCGGAAGGCGCTCAAAAGCTGATTTGCGGGCCACGGCTGGAGATACCCAAGCATCCCTGATCATGAAGGAACAGAAACTTGAATGATGGAGGGGAATCCTCAGTAACGGAGCTTTAACCACGGGATACGGGAGTCTCGGGGCCAGGGTTGTTCCGGAGGGATGTGCCTCAGGGATGCTGCATGACTTCCTGGCTTTCAGCTTCATTGTTCAGAGCTTTCGGGCTGAACAGGGCGTTCGAAGCGTCTGCCTTTTGCGGTTGGGGCCAAGAGCAGGTTCGGCATTGGTTTCGTGGTCTGCAAAACATTGGAGCCTGTTCAGCGCTCGCACAAGCACGACAGTGCTGTTGCAGAGTCAGAATAGATGTCTCTCCCTTAGGCAAAAGCCCCATCGTTGCCCCGCCCTGACAACAAGGATTTGTAGATCCCACTCTAATTACCCTGTAGCTCCGAGCAATTTGAGCTGAAGCTGCTCAAGACCCTGAAAAAGGGAGGCGCTTTGCTCTGAGAAGGCGGACAGCTTTGATGATGAAGGGTTCAGCACACAAGAACTGACATCGGAGACTCAGCAAGAAAGAGCGATCCTGGATGTAAGAAGCCCACCTTAAAAACACCACAGCGGAGGCCTCGCTCCTGGTGCCTGTCGGACCAACGATATCCCGCAGCCTTGGACACCACTGCTACAACGATAGCAATGGCTAGTCACAGTGATAATAGTCATTAGGTAGTAATTGTACGAGGACTGCTGTTGGCCCGAATGGGCTTGAGAAATTTGGTAGGAATTTGGGGCATGTCCAGCCGCAATTCCACGCACTAATTAGGGTTACTCAAACTTCAACATCCTAGAGGCCTAGACTCAAGAGCTAGGGCCTTCTACCACTCACACAGCAGGCAAATTCCTAAATCGTCAACCCGCGGACATCTAACTGCAGTCTCTTTTCTGGAGGTCTGGTTTTTATTCATCTTATTCTTGTTCAAGTCCTGACTCGTATTGGTTTGCCACTTTTTGGCTGCTACAATTTTACATACAGCAAAGCTTCGGCATCTCGGCGCACCCTTCGACTCCAGCAGGCCCCATCGCAGGACCTTGCCAAGGACACGTCCGCCAAGTTATTGACCGCCGAGGGCTGAGATGTACAGTAGTGCGAAAGCCCAACAGGCCCTCACTCCCGGAACTCCCAACCCCATACGGGACCAGACGCCACGCAAAGGAAGACTAGGACAAGGGGGTGCCTGGCCATGCTGGCCTGCCGCCAGAGCCGTCTGACAATGTTGGGGATTGTGAAGCGTGGATCTGGCTCTTGACTCTCTGCCTCCAACCCACGGCCCGGGGGTCCGGGCCTTCCACTAGGCACAGGTACTCCTTCTCTACCAAACGGGCGGCAATCTGCGCTTGGATCCACCTCCCAGGGTTTGACGTGCAAACATGTGAGACCCGGGCAAGGGTAATCGTCGGTAAAAGTAGGAGCTCGAGCAGGTGTTTGTTGCTTCTTATGCGGAGCATTCGGTTCAAAGTGCTGTAAGGTGTCGATGCACACGATACGCACGCTACTGGAAGCAAGATGAACCTGGGAAGCTTGGTGACTCCAGGCTGTTGCTGAACATGTCTGAACACAGCCGACCCCCGCTAGACCGCTAGACCTCCAGCTTGTTGGACCAACTCAGAGATCGCCATGCAGGGGGTCGCTCATGTTTGAGAAGCCACACTTTGCAACTTCAGCTCCTACACGCCGTTGCACGCTACGGTACAGGTGGACTACACCTCCGGCAAGAGGCGCAGTCGAAGATCTAGTGTAGCACTGTAACGAGTCTTGTAAGGAGAAGCACCGACTGCTCGATTTCGGCGCTGCTTGAGATCCGGAACCCAAGACCTTCGCTAGTTGGACTACACAACTCAGGAAATTAATCTGTCGATTCGTGCGTCGAGCGGAAACGCACAGATGCATCTTCGTCCCCGACCCAAAATGCCAACTCCAGCATATGATCTGAATCCTCACTCCCATACCGGAAAGCACCCAGCCCAAGCCCACAGATACACAAAAAGAACTGCTGAGTCGCTTTGCCTTCTAGTGGTGTCGGGCGAACAAACAACTCGCAGTCGACATCCTAAACCTGTTGCTGGAAGCCAAAGCCCCACACTACCCCCCAAATCCCCCCAAAAAACTTCACTACCCTCGACCCCAACTTAAAAAAAACGTCATTGCTTGCAAGACTAAGCTCAAAGCCGCCTGAAAGCCGTCGAGTTGGCATCCCCGAGGGCCACGAGAAGCACCCCCGAGGTGGAAAAGTCCAGCCGGGAGACCTCGAGATTGAGGAATTCGGACTGACTTCATACACGTTAAGTTGTAGGCCTTGAGGGATTCGGGTTAGATCAGTTGTGTTACAAATACAAACGTTATGGCACATGGACCCAAGCCTATACTGCACGACGAAGCTTACGTAACGCCACCTGCGGATCTGACTTATGAAGAACGACTGCCATGCCCCTTAAACACAGTACCTGTTGTTCCAAAAGGTGTGAAAACAAGATGGCAGCTCAACGACACCTTTACCAGATTAACCTCACATACTGTGCAAAGGGTCACCATGCAACCCACAGATTTCAAACCTCAAGCCTGACAAATTAGTAAAATTGCCGAGGCTCACTCTGAAGGTTCAGCCCGACGTGGCTCGACAACTTCTCAAGGAGTGCCTGGCTCTCGTCTTTCAAAGAAGCCTCTGTACTGGAGGCATATACCTGGAGAGCCCAGTACCCCACAGTGGGTCCTTACTCCTTGGTAGCCTTGAGGTGACGAGGCCTCACACTTTTGGGGCTAATTTGCCTCCAATCAGTCCCCCCCACCGCAACGAACAGAACCTTTGAAATGGAAACAAGGTTTCATACTGAGAACAGTGCGGGGAGATCCCTGAAAACGCAGCATGAGCAGAACATGAAAAAGGAAAGTATGAATTCCCCAAACTTCGCATCCCAACCATCCCAAAAATGTTTGGCGGGCCTCGCTTCGCCGGCCGGCTGGCTTCAAGAAAGCCGCCACCCCGGAACCCACAGCCAGGGCCTGGGCCTCAGATCGCTGTGCACAAGGACCTATGTGTCATCTAATCATGTTCACAGAAATACTTCTACTTGCAGCCCTCTTTGTACTAAGCTTCTATCCAAACTGGGTACTGTTTCATCAGTTTCGATTGTGCCCTGCAGGCAACAAATGCACCTGGGTTCAGCACTCACACACCTATGCGCGGACTGGCAAGCGCCCAGCTCTCTTGTGCGTGGGAGCATGTGCCACCTTCCGCCTTGCTAGTTTGTTGGGTCAGCTCAACAAACTCCTGCAGCCTACGGAGGGAAATATCTTGCGGAAGCCCCACCAAACATGCGATCGGGCACTGCGGGACACGTGTCTCATCGTCACAGTACCAACTTGCTTTGTAGGACGCTGTGCTGCTCGACTCAGCTGAACCCTCGGATTTACAACAAGTCGTGTGAATTAGTTGTCGTCGATTTGCTTATGTTGCTGTGACATTCAAGGCTTTCGGCATTTAAGACCCAGGTCCAGGTTTGGGAGTTCTGCTTTGTGCTGCGCTGGTCCGCGCAGATCTCGAGCCATATGTAGGATCTCATGACGGTAAGCAGAGCCTCCAGATCCCTGAAGCTCTTCTCAAAATAGCGGTACTAGAGCAGGAAACAATTTCGATGTTCACATGAGGTCCGGGACAGCAGGTGATTTGGAGGTGCGATGGGCTGGCCTTCCAGGAGTCTGCTAAGAAAATGTCGTCCTGTTATGTCCAGGAACGTGGCAGCATTGAGCCCTCTCCTCAAAAGCCTAGCATGCGGCATTGGCAGTGAAGTTCGAGATGTTTGATTCGACTTCTCATCTTGGACGCTTTTCCACCGGAGCCGTCAGATAAGGCTAAACTCAAGGAACCATGGAACATCAAACTACATAGAAAGGACCTTGCTCTTGAGGCTATCGAACCCCAGCTGCACAAGATCTCCCGAAACTGCAAGGTCTTCAAAACGACGGTTCAGTTTAGGCTATCAGGTAGTGTTGGCGACACAATCATTGCGAGCTCCTCGCCTGTGTAAATTGTACAGTATTTATTTAAACTGTGTTGAATTTCTGCCATCCTCGGCGTGATGACGAGACTTCTGAGCGTTGTACAAAGTTTTCTCCTGCTTTGACTGTCTGCCCGGAACGTGCCAAAGCATTCATTAGTGGTGGTGGCTTTGTATTTAGCCGCATGTCTCGGCGTAATGCTGCCATGTCACCCCCGGCACGTTTGTTGTGAGTTTCTCCACAGCATCCGGCAAACACACGCCAGAACCTTCTCAGACTTCGGCTTAGGTTCGGGAGTTTGAGCTTCACGCAGTTCAGGTTTTAGGTGCACAGGCTTATGTATGTATAGGTAGTTCAGGTAGTTCAAGATAGAAGTTAAGTTAGTTAGTCTTCAGATATGTCACCCAAATCATATCGTGCATGGTGGCCGCGACCGAGTCAGCCAGTGTGTTCGCGCACAGGAACCCCCTCGGCAAGTGTTTTGAATCCCACTTGCACCCCGATAGAACTGTAGTCATGGAAACCTGAACCGCCTTCCCTCTACACCCCTCCTCCCTAATTCTTGCGAAGGCCTTCCTAAGCGCTTATTCCTCGAGGAAATAAAATCTTAGTAAGTGCTTGCTAATTAAGGGCTTGCTAAGCCTTTGGTCTCGTAAAGGGGTGTAGGGTGGGGGGTTCAAGCTGAATTGATATAGAATTGGGCATAGCCACATAAGAGCAACGTGTATTGGATCTGGTGCTAAGAAAAGGAACGAGGCTCCCCTCACACTTGCCATGTTGCAGAATCAAGTTTCCTTTGCACAAGCATCCTCGCTCAAAACGACGTCATTAAAACAGCTCTGAAAAGCAACAATGCCAAGGCTATCCTCGGATTCTACTGAATTCTACTGACTACAGCCGAATCTCCGCGACATACCTATTTTCTATTTAGAATGTGGTTTCAATTGTAATAAACACCCGCCTGGAAAGCAGGCCGCCCCGCTTTGCCATCTGTTCCTGGCGCCAGCAGAAACAGAATTTTCGGGATCTAATGATCTATGTTTTGCATGCCTTTGGGGTTATCGGCTGTATACTGCTCAACTTACCGACCAGATTTTCACTGAAGGTGTTATCACTTTCGTTCTGGCAAAAAGCTCCACGGCGTGCTTCCCGGGTCGGAAGCTGTGTGGCTAACTGAGTGGGCAAGTCAGAGCTTTGGGACATTTGTGAGCCTTCGGAAGTTATAAAGTTCCCTGGGCAATTTACGAAGCCGACAGTTTTAGCCGTTCAGACGCTGCAGGAGGATTCATGTATACGAACACCAGCAGAAGCAGCAGCACCAGCAACAACAACACCAACACCAACAAAACCACCCCCACCACCACCAGCAGCACCAGCAGCAGCAGCAGCAGCAGCAGCAGCAGCAGCAGCAGCAACAGCACCAGCACCAGCACCTCATACAACGACAGCAACAGAAACAGCACCGCATACAACGACAGCAACAGAAAC